AAAAATATAAACAAAAACATCAAAATCAACAAACATTAACAATTTAATAGCACCAAAATGTTCATTTCTTTTTTCTCATTTCAGTTGCCTCATTTTGATCTCCTCTTTTACACAATTCCCCCCTTTTTAGAATGATGGAATTTAAAATAAAATTTGAAACTTTTGGATTAATCTTACGTTCATAATGTTTTTTTTAACAAAAAAATATAATAATTATGGCTGCGAGATCAAACTTCTAGTTGAAATAGTTGGTGTTAAAATACACTTGTAGTTTAAATAGGGGAAACTTTTAAAAAGTAGTGACGCATGACTTATTTAAACAAATTTTACAATTTGTTTTTGTTTTTTTACATTAGAGCAGATTCAATTCTATAAAAAAATAGATTCGTGTTCGTTTTTTCATTCAAAACGTTTAGATCTAAAAATTTGTATTCTTTTACACGATCATAGTGTGTTCATATACGCCCTTCGCGCCCGAAAGAAAATTTCAGCTTTGTCGAGCAAAATTTTTAGACAAAATTTTCTCACAACGTACTATTTTGTCATACGAAAAATGTTTCTAAAATTGGAGCTTCCAAAATAAAGAATTTTTTTCCTTCGACCAAAAAACTGTATTCTGAAAATTCTGAATCTGACCAGACTAACCCTATAAGTTCTATAAGCCCCTCTATAAAAACTTTTTCATAAATTAGCCCAATTAACCATTGCAGTCCTAAATTGTATGTAATAACATGATTTAGTATCGACAAAGTAACAAATAATTTAGAGGAATGGATAAATTTTTTACACGCAAGAAAAGCTTGTATGATGTCTCTTAATTTGGATTTAGGCGTGTATCGTTCAAGAATTCGAGAAGATTCTGTTAATTGAAAATATATATATATATAGACAAATGGAGCATATATATATATATATATATATATGCTCCATTTGTCTATTTTAGAAAACTCTCTTTGAATTTCTTGGAATTTCAGAAAATCTAAGATTTTTTTGATTGCAGCATGTTGTACAGTTTTAAATTTTTAACTATTAACAAAAGCTTATTTCTACTAATGAAATTTTCAAGAACTTAAAGTTGGCAGGCTTAAATTTTACTTCTTTTTTTTTATTTAAGATATTTCTTTTTTTTCCTCTCTTTACTTTATTATAGATGATGACTGTGTTGTCCAGAGATTACAAGAAATCTGTAGAAGGAGATACAACAAAACAATGCACATGATATAAAAAAGAAATATAAAATACTTTGCATGTATACGTATGTGTGTGTATCTTTTTTTTCTTAGTAACTTTGTAAAGAGCGCATAATATTGAAGGCAGCATACTTTTGGTTAAAATTTAAAATATTATATAGGAAGGTTAAAATACTATTATGTGGTGTAGTGGCATACACATAAAAAAAAACCAAAAATTATTCATGATTATACGTTACTGCACCAACACATTCAAATGTTAAAAAAAGTTTTATTTTCTTAAATAAAAAAAATTTTTTTTTTTAATTTCAAATTAATGTGAATTGTTTTGATGTTGGATACTACGGATGGAATGAATATGTTGGAATCAAATATTAGAATCATATTGTGAATTGTAAAAATGATCTTTTGGGTTTTTTTGGGGTCTTTTTAAATTTTTTTTTATTTTGTTTATTTTAAATTTTTTTATTAAGCGGTAGAATTTCAAGTGAATTAGGTGGACTAAAATAATTATGAAATAAAAGAATTTCTGGAAAATTCTTTCATTTTAATTTTTCTAATATGTAAGTACACTTTTCTTATTTGAAAAAAGCTATTAAATTATAATTAAGATTTTATTTGAACAATTTTGATAAGCATCCTTAATTAAGTGATGCCATATTAGATTATATGAAACTAAAATTTTAATAAAGCTCTGTCTTTTTTAATGCCATTTAAATTTCTAACGCAAATTTTTATGGAATATCTTCTTAAGTTATAAATATTCCAAAGAAAACCTAATAAATTTTTTAAGCCAAATTTAAGTATATATTCTGATTTTAAGTAATAGAGATAAAATACAAGTATATTTCACAAAACCATTTACAGCAGTCCATTTTAGGGAATATAACAGTTTACGCGTACAGCACATTTTATGCATAATTACACCAGCCTAAACCTAAAACGAATAAGAGAACTAAGTGCAAGTATTTGTTACAGAAAAACTAACAATGAAAGCTTACCGCTCTCATCTACCCAGAATCAGTTTGCAGCGTGATATTTCATTAGAGGCACATATCAAATATTAACTGTTGTTAAGATTGTTGGTTTTAAGAAGAGAAAGTATAGACAATCCAAGAAGTATAATGCTAAACAAGATATGAGAATCAATATATTCTATATATTTCCAATTCAATGTTCTTCCTTACAAACTAAATGATTTAGAACTATAAACGTGACAATACAATAATGGTAAAATGTTAATTTTTTTTTTAAATGTTTAATTATTTTTCTGAAAATTTCGGTCAAGTGCTTTATAATTTTGACAAAGAACTTGTTATAAATCAAATAAAGCTAGAAATTTTTATATTTTTACAAAACAAAAAGTATAATGATTATTACAAATTTTTATATCTTTCATAATAAATCAATTTAATATATCAGTATATTATTACTAAGTGTTGATTTACAGTATGTCAGTTTTCTTATATTATAACGATAGTATATGTTCACATGTATATCAATTAAAATATAGAATACATGCGTATGGCTTAACTGTTTTGTAACACTAAAGTTACCCTCTATGTGTTTTTAGTAGCAACAACATCCCTACTTAATAAAAAATAAAATATCGAAAAACTTTTTTTTAAAATAAACTTATAAATCATACAAATGAACTAAATAAAATCTTATTGAGTCAAATTTAATTATCGAATTCAATAAAGAATAATGTTAAGATTTCTATGTGTGGAAAACGATAAAATTCCAAGAAAACAATTTTTTTTTTCTAAATTTGATATAAAAAAAATGTAGGTATAACTACATTTAAAATAAATGCAATGACATTTTACAATAGTTAAATATACAGTAGCGAGTTGTTATTCTTACGTCAACCCTGGAGATAAATCTGTACATATGAATTGTGTATTTCGATATATGTACATATTATGTGTATCTATAATTCCTTTATAGTAAAAACATGTTACATATTTATGGAGTTAGCACGTGCTATACAAAATAGATAGATATTTTCCAAAACTTGATTCTAAATATTTAAATATGTTTTTCTTTAAAAATTTTCTAAATAAGTAATCAAACAGGAATTCCACTAATGACGGTAAAATTTATAATCGAATTTCAAGAAGAGTTGTTTTCCGTAAAGTTGCCATTTTCATTGAAGAAACAAAAAAACTCTTTTCTATGATTTTTATTTACCTCTTATACGTATGTGTAGACTTTGCATAAACCTTGGAGGAGACCAAAAAAATTAATACAAATTTTTTCAATATACTGTTGTAATTTCTGATAAGAAGACATTTGCCGTTAGTCGTTTTCTCATACGTTTATGAGCAAACGACTGACGGCATTGATTATTTTCTAACTAATTAAATTACGTATTCTTGCCTGCAAATACCTTGCTTAATAAAAGGAAGACTAATTCCAAACATCTGAGAAATATTCTTTTAAACGGCTTTTTGAAAGTTAAACCGATGTTCCACTATGATTCTTAATTTTAGTAGATATATCGTCCTACATCAATAGAAATTTAATAATAAATATGATTTCAACATAGTAAGTCGTCAATAAATTGGGTTTATAGGGCTATATAGGACTATACACATACCTTTTCGAGCAGTGGGAAAATAGATTCTTTTAGAGAAGAAATTCTGTTATAAAGTTCTGTTTGTCTGTAAAATATAGACAGCTTCTTGTCTTAAATATTATAAAAGATTTCTAATTAAACATACATACAGACAAACAGAATAAAACAGGCACATGTTTTCCAATTTTGGTCGAAATTTTATTATATGTTTTAAGTAGTAGTCGGGATGTGTGTAAGCAACATCGAGAAGGAATCTTTTGCGACATCATAAATGGTGCATATTTTTGCTTTTAAAGACGATCTAACAACGTAGGTAATTAAAGAGATCCGTGAGACTTAAATCCATCCGTTAATTAAAGCAATCGTGTGAGAACAAAAAGATCCAGAGACTTGAGATTTGGCACATATGTACGTATGTATATTTCCACGTAAAGAAGCAAAAACTGAAACTGTTACCTCAAAAGTACCAAAGTTTCAATACCGCCTTATAAAATACAGCAAATATTGTTTTACAGGAAATCGCAAAAAAGGAATACAGAAAAAAAAATCATCAGAAATTCTTCAAATTGGCAGGTATTTAGTTGTGGCAGAGACCAAAATTAACTTTCTACTCATTGAATAAGAAAAAATCAAGAAAATGTGATAAGAAAAAGTGAATATCATCATCATTCACGTAATGCGGTTTTTCATAAACATATTACGTAATTTTGTTTCAGAAAGAATCAATTAGTGGATACCCTAGAATCTATAGCAAAGAAGGAATCCAATTTAAAAAACCGTAATTTTGTTATTATGTATTTCTCTTAACCTTATATAACATGACTGGATATAGAATTAAAGACATTTTTATCAAAAATTGTGGCTCCTGACTCTTGACATTCTTTCTCAAATGTATAAAGTAGAAATGATGAAAAGTTTTCCAAATTAAATGTATTTGTTATAACATGACTCGACACTGTATTTTATAATTGTCTATGAATAATAGCATATATATGATATGTGTAAAAATATTTTTACAAAATGCTTATAAAACAACCATAGATTTAGGGAATAAAAAAAAAAACATTTTTGTTTTTTGTAAATTTAGTTAAATACTTATTATATATAACAGTATATAAGTTAAAGAATTACGAGTAGTAATTATTAATGTTTGTTTTTTAATTATATTCTATGAAATTTTCTAAATAAGTACAAATAATAAATAAGGCATATTCAATGTACATACATACCTTTTTTTTTCTTGTGATATAAAAAATAATTTCGCTAAATATACAATATATACGTGTGTATATATATAATATGTATAATCGTAACAAGAAAAACAAATGTACCAATTTAATCCATTATAAATTTAATTTATAAACAATAATTTTTTTAATATTCGCACTTACTAATACTTATATTATTGTATCATATAATTGATTATATATTATGTAAATGTGTATATATTTATGTATATGCACATGTGTTAATGTAAAAATATAAGCATATATAATTTGTTTTATTATCGTTTATTATAGTATTGTATATATCCTTTCTCTTTTGAGCCTTGAACAATATTAAAATTTTAATAAATTTTTAATTTATACATATATATATATATATATATTTATAAATATATTTTATTGAATTTAATAATTATTTTTCTGAATACAATATTTTGTGTATTTATAATTTCTTTCTCTTTTACAATTCTTATTATACTTAAATTTTATATATTTATTAATTTGAACTATATTTATTCATTTATTATAGCTTTAAGTATATGTAATGTTATGTTATTATTATTAAACTGGTATACAAGTACACACATTTACAATTATAATATGTGTATAGTATTTTTGTTGCAATAATAATATTATTGCACAAAATATTATAAACATTAAAAAATAATAAATTTTTATAATGTTACAATTAATTATGGAATATAAAAAATATATTTATTAATTAAGAAAAACAGATATACACACACAGACACGTTAAATATAACAATTTAATATATAATAAATTTCTATATATAATAAATTTCAACTAAACGTATAATATTACAATTATATTTCACTATAAAATTTTTTATAATAAAAATATAAGGTGCATTATTTGATTTCAAATATTTGAAGTAATATAAGATTATTTATTAAAAAAAATTATATTGTATATTGCATATGCTATTTGTATACAAACTAGAATATATTATATTTTAATGCACGTATACATATGTAAATTATATTTTATATAATTTTAATTAAATTTATATTAGAAAAATCAAATAAATATTTTTCTATTACTCATAATGTTTTTCAATTCAAATATTTTATAATGTAATATAATATTCATATACATTTTCATATACAATTGTATATATAATATTAAATTAAGTAAGTATATTTTATAATTTTGCGCGACCAGGAACACTATAAATTTAACACTTTAATTCATACACATATACATATATTAATACATATGTATAAATACATACATATGTATTGATATACTCGGTTTTTTCCAATATAAAATTACATACTTATTTTTATTAATACTAAAATTTATACACTAATACATATATGAGTAAACATATTACACATTATTGGAATTAAAAAAATTATTTTTTTTTATTTTAATTTTTATATTTCTTTTTTTTATTACTTTGTTATTTTCTTGTAATTAATTACGAAATAAATTTTTAATACTTTAAAATATTTTCTTTATTAAATCATATTTATATATGAAATTTTCAATTTAAAAATATTTTAGATTATTCAAAATAGAAATATTAAAGTATTCCTTTTCGTTCACTTTGTTATTCTGTGTATATTTATTTATTTTACAAAAATCAAAAAATTTCCGATACTAAAACTACTTAGTATTCTAAAATAAAATTTATTTAGTATACTTTGTATTCTATACAATCATACACTCTTTAAAGGCAAAAAAAAAAAGTTTTCACATAGTTGATTCGAATTTTTTTTTATATTTTTCTTCTTCTTATTTTTATTTTTCTGTGTAAATTTTTACATTATTTTTTTATTAAATTTTTTTTTTTGTTTCACAATTTATTTCTTTTTTAGTAAACATATCTTTTCAATTCAAATTTTAAATAATATTTGAAATGAAATTCATTAAATTGAAATTAAATTTATTTAACATTTTTTATATAATTTTTAACTCATTTTTTTATTTAATATTAAAATATAAAAACTTTTTGATTTCTTGAGATACGAAAAACGTCTTTAAAACTATGGAAACGAAAAACTCTCAAGTTGAAAACTTTATTTTATTATTTTTTACTTTTTCATTTTACGATTTGTTTGTTTGTATTTTGTTGTATATTGTTGTAATTGTTGATGTTAAGAGTTTTAATGCTGAAAATAGTGTTACCATAAAATATTCAATGTTTTTTCAAAATGCAATAATAAGAATGAAAAACTAACTAAAATAACTTTAAAAATTTATTGAAAAGTCAATGATGTAATTCAAATTTTAATTTATTTTTTTTGCTAGCCACATTTTTTCAGTAACTTTAATTATTATTACATTAAATCCAAATATTATTTTTTCTATATGAATTTAGGTATTTATGAAGTTTCTCACTTATGTCTTTTGTTTGTAAATTTATATTGTTATGAAAAATTAATTAATTTATACCCAATTTTTACAAAATCATACAAGAAGACAGAAAACATTAAAAATCTGTTATAAAATAAGATATACATAAATATTTTTTCATTTAATTTTTTTGAAATTTCATTTTGATTTAAAATAATTTTGTATTTCATCAAATTGAAAATATTCAAATGCCAGGTTAAAAATTTTTCGAAACGTTTTTATAAATTTATTGTTATTTTATTGTCTAAAAAATAATTACTATATTAATTACTACTTATAACATTAATAAATATTTTTTAACAATTAATATGAATTTTTTAACAGAGTGTTTAGTACAAAATTTGTATTGTATATATTGTTCATGATATATTTTGCAATTTCAATTTAGAAAAAAGTTGCAGTTCTGCTTTATTAATTTGCTGAATTCTTTGGGAATTTTTATTAGTTTTATTAATACATATACTTTAATGAGTTACATATTTCAATTAAAACTCAAGTTCCCAATTAAAACAATAATACCATACAAATTGTGATCTCTACTTATTGCTTATATGAAATAAATTCTAACAAAATTTTAAAGAAATAAAAATGCTTGTTAACCACAATAACTAATATTATATATAATTAATAAACAAGCCATAATTTAAAAATAATATTAATTAATACAATTCTAACAGTAAATAGTTAACTTTATAAATAATATGTTTTATAGAAAATACTTTTGTAAATTTGCCTTGAAAAATTAACTAATTATTAATTAAAAAAATAAAATCATTTGATTTGCTAATTACTTGTTAAAGTAAATTCACTTAATTTCGAAATGACATTTAAGATTGCCGTAAATGTGGTAATACTTGATCAAATTACCTTACAGATCGTCATACGTGAGAGACAGAAACCCAGGTACCAAAACTCTTAAACTCTTTTTTTTTTGTTGTATTATAAGATGTAAATGTGTATTATATTAAAAAATTTGTGCACATATATAGAAAAGAGATTGATTGTATAGATTTTTCTGTTCTTAAAACATATGGTTGTCTTATTTTCATCAACATTATAAACTTACTTACCTGTTGTTTTAGTGGAATCGAAAATGGTACAGGTACAAAGAAATAAGATATAGAAATTATATGAATTTATTATTTTTCTTTTAGTTTCCCATATAATATTCATAAGAAAATGTTATATACTATTATCTCTTTCTAACTCAATAAAATTTCATATTCGTATTTGATATTAAACATTTTTTTTTAATTTACCTTATAAATATACACATTAAATACTATATTTATCTCATTCTTATCTTATTATTGTTCAAATTTTTTTCTCTCTTTGTATAAATTTTCTTATACTTAAAAAAACTCAAGCAATTTTTCTTTCTTTCCTTCTTCTCATTTCATTTTTTGCTCCTTATTTTTTTTTTCTAGCTCTCCATATTACAATATGGTATATACCTGTTGATATACAGGTGAATATATGTTAATATTAAGAAGTAAAAAAGAACAAAAAAACAGTATAATGAGAAAGCAAAAAATTGAAATGTGTGTGCAATGCACATTACACTATACATTTTATGTATATGCGAAGCGACGACGATGTACACATGAAAAATTAATATGAAAAAAAAAGTTATCGAAGAGATATAAAATAATGTTAAAATTGAGACAGAAAAAAAGTCTATATTTTATAAATGTTCATGTGAATATTTATATGAGAATATAAGATGCGATACTCTTATATTCACAATGTGAAATAATAATATTCAATATTTAAGTATAAAACACACACTGGCTGATTGATTAAGGGATTTTTTTTTGTTTTTAAGTTTTTTTTTTGTTATCAAGTACTTCGTTTAAGTCTTTCGTTTTTAAATTATCGTGATCTGTAATACCATGTATAGATATTTTATTAAGTTTTTACATTATTTTCTGCATATTTCTTATATTATATTAGAGCAAAGATAGCACTTATTTATTAAATTTTGAAAACTAATGTAAAAAAATTTTTTTGGTCGAAAAGGAGGTATTCGAAGTTAAACTCAATAAAAATTTCTAGAAAAAGAATATTTTAAGGAATTCGTAAAAGGTTTTGATATTTTTGGTTTGTTCAAAGCTCTGATTCTGCACAAATTGAAAACAAATAATATTAGATAATCTTGTACTAACAAAAAATCAAAAAAGTTATATTTATTATTTAGAAGCCGGTTATGAAGCTCCCTTTTAATTCAGTTTAGATATTCATTTTTATTATTAATTGCTTACATATCTCTTTGTTAGAAAATCTATAGGTAATATCATATTGCTCATAAATCTATAGTTAATATCATATTAATTTTAACTGTTATATTGCGAATTAACAAGCTGAGTTTCAGTTTACTTTTGAGAACAGTAATAGTTGAGCTAATCTTAAAATAACCAAACGGAAATTTATTATAACAACGAAAAATTTAATTCAAAAATATATTTTAGAGATGTTTAAACTTTTATTTATATTTAAAAAATCTTCATAATTTAATTCAAAAATTTTGAATATTTTGAATGACATATCCAATATTGTCCTTCACAATAAAACTTAAAAAATTGTATAAATTTATAAAACATAAACTTTTATTATTGTTATTTTCGTTTTTTTAAATAATATAAAATTATAATGATTTAAAAAACAATTTTAAATGCTAATTATGTGTCTAATAAAGTTATAAATTTTTATAATTCTCTTTCATTTATACATGTATAATAAAATTCAATATATAATTCTAATAA